CTAGAATGGATGGTTGTGAGCACAGAACTCATGACAGCAGTAAAACATGCTACTGCAGTTGTATACACTTAACCAAGCTATGAGCACAAGTCGAGATAGATTGCTTCTGATCGTTTCTCCTAAAAGGACAACTTATCAGTTACTGGAATTAAGGTTCTAAACGAAGTGGTTCAACAAGATATTTCAGCAAGAAAAAGTTGAGTTCAAGATTTATTTATTAAAGTAGAGCCGTGCTAGACTATTTATGAGAAACTGAATCTAACTTGCAAGTGAAGGGGTGTGAATAACTTGTTGGAGAGCAAAAACAGAGGCTTACTTCTTGTTTGATAATAAAATGATGAAGTACACTTGCCTATTTATAGGCTTACAGCTGAAAAAAAAAAGCAAAATAAATTGATAGAATTTAACCAAACCATAAACCCACGTAATTCCACTACAATCACTAACGTAATGTTAGCAGCAACAAGGACTCCTTATTTGACTAATTGAACCTGAAAAATATGCCATTACTAACAAACTTTGAATCAATCTTCAACACTCCCCCTTGATTCAAAGTTGCAAACACCAAGCAAAAATCTAAAGTAGATAAACTTCTCTTTTGACAAAGCCTCAGTAAGCACATCAGCCAACTGCTCGTTTGTGTTACAATATTTCATAGTAATTTCTTCCTTTACAACTAAATCACGAATGAAATGGAAACGAATGTCGATATGCTTTGTTTTACTGTGAAAGGCTGGATTCTTTGTCATTGAGATTGTTGCTTTATTGTCACAAAATATCTCTGTCGATCCTTCTTGCTTTTGTTGAAGTTCAGCTAACATTCTTCTTAACCAAACAGCTTAACAAGCTGCTAAAGTGGCTGCAACATATTCTGCTTCTGAGGATGACAATGTTGTTGTGGCTTGCTTCTTTAAGCTCTAAGTCATTACTCTTGATCTAAGAGTAAAAACATTTGCTGAAACACTTCGCTTATCATCCAACAAACTTGCCCAATCGTTGTCCGTGAACCCACATAATTTGAAATTGGAAACCTTTGAGTACCAAATTCCAAAATCCATAGTTCCAGCAATGTTACACAAAACCCTCTTTGCTGCTCCAAAATGAAGTTTTGAAGGATTTTGTATGAACCTTGAAATCACACAAACAAAAAATGCAATATCGGGTCGAGTGTGTTTTAGATAAATTAAGCCTCCAACTAAACTTCTGAACCTTTTAGCATCAACCATCTCTGCTCCATCTGTTTCCTGTAATTTCTCATTAATATTCATAGGTGTAGCTGCATATTTACAATTAAGCATGCCAAATTTCTTAAGAAGATCCTTGGCATATTTTCTTTGGGAAACAAAAATCCTGTCTTCTACTTGCTGAACTTCTAGGCCAAGACAATAATGCGGCAAACCCGTATCTGACATTTCAAACCCATCCAACGTACGTGATTTAAACTTAGCCACAAGAACACTAGAGGAGCTTGTATAAATGATATCATCAACATAAAGACAAAAAATGATGAAATCATTTTTACCTCATTCTTCACGTAGAGAGTGGGCTCATTCTCACTCCTCAAGAACCCATTTTGCTGAAAGTATCCATCAATTTTACTGTACCATGCCTGATGAGCCTGCTTCAATCTATACAATGCCTTTCTCAACTTGTACACCTTTGTCTCTTTGCCTTCAATTATAAAACCTTCTAGTTTAGTTACATAAACTTTCTCTTGAAAATCTCCATTTAAAAATGCCGACTTGGCATCAAATTGGTAAAAAGGCCATCGTAATTAAGCAGCCAATGCCAAGATAATTCTTACAGTTTCAAAGCGAGCTACTGGAAAAAAAGTTTCTTCAAAGTTAATACCATATTGCTGTGCATACCTTTTTGCCATAAGTCGAGCTTTGTGTTTTTGTATACTTCTATCTGCACAAAATTTTGTTTTGAATACCCACTTCAAACCAATTGCATTTTTACTTTTCGGTAAGTCCACAATCTCCAACGTTCCATTCTTTTCAATTGCCGTCAACTCTTCCACCATTGCTTTCTGCCACTCTTCTTTTTCAGCTGCTTCTTCATAGGTTGTAGGATCTGAAACTGTATGAGCAAATTGACAATATTCATATATGTCAGTTAAGGATCTAAGCTTTCTTGGTGGTGTCTCATCTGAAGACTCTTCATGAGTGGATGAAGTTTTTGGATTGGTAATGTTGAGACTGTCGAATTTGGTGACACCACAGAGGAACCGGCTGGTGAATTTGTAAGAGTTGGCTCTTGACTTTCATTTGGAGAGATTTTGATCGGCATATGAATCTGTTGTTGTTGCTTTTTCTCATCACTTCTACGCCAATCTCGTCTTGCATTTTCATCAAATACTACATCCCTTCTAATTAAAATTTTGCCACTTAAAGGGTTAAATAATCAATAAAAATACTTCTAATTAATTATGCTTTGGATTGTGCACAGTAACCAATAAAAATACTTTTTTCAGATTTTTCATCAAGTTTATGACGAAATTGAGAATTAACTAAAGCATAAGCAATACACTCAAAAATTCTTAAGTAACTTACAGATGGTTTTCTACCATGCCAAGCTTCAAATGGAGTTTGATTCATGATAGCTCTTGTGCGAGAGAGGTTGAATAAATATACTACTATTGCCACAGCTTCGGCCCAAAATTGATTTGAAAGTCCCATTTGCTTGTAACATGCTTCTTACCATCTCCACAACTGTTCGATTTTTTCGCTCAGCGACGCCGTTTTGCTTTGGAGTGTATGGAGTTGTCAGCTACCTATGAATGTCATTTTCGTCACAAAAAAGATTGAATTCTCTGGACAGGAATTCTCTACCTCTATCAATGTGAAGAGCTTTGATGCAGGATCCACTTTGTTTTTGCACCTTAGCTTTGAAGTGCCTGAACTTTTCAAAAGTTTCTGACTTATTTTCTAGAAAATAAACCCAACTCATACAACTATAGTCATCAGTAAAAAGCAAGAAATAACGATTTCCATCAAAAGACTTAGTTCGCATAGGCCCACATAAAAATAAGCATGAATTAATTCAAGGCACTTTGAAGCCCTCCAAGCCTTTCCAATGGGAAAGGACTTTCTAGATTGTTTCCCATAAATACAGCCTCCACATAAGTCAACAGAACCAATTTTTGGTAGTCCAAAAACCATACATTTTTCACTTAGCAATTTTAGACCCTTGATGTTGAGATGCCCATATCACAAATGCCATAGCTTTGAATTATCTTTTCCACCACTAGCAAGAACGAAATTCCCAATGCTTGAAACATCGGATGGGAACATTTTGTTTTGAGTCATTTGATATTAATCAACGTATGACCTGAGTGCTTGTCTTTAATAACACATGCATCATCATCAAATAATATGGAATATCCACCAGTCATTAATTGCCCCCACACTTAGCAAATTATATCCCAAATCAGGTACAAATTGAACATTTTGCAAGAGCTTTACATTACCATGGGTAGTTTCAATGCCCACTGTACCTTTCCCTGCAACTTACATTTCTTTGCCATTTCCAAGTTGCACCTTCATCTTATGTGTCTCATCAAGCTCCGTAAACATGGATTTGATGTCTGTCATATGATTCGAGCAGCCACTATCTACAAATCACACATCACTTGTCTTATGGTTAGTATTGAATTAATCCATAAAAAGTTTACTTTCTTCTCCATTTTCTATTATAAAATTTGCTTGCTAGTCTTTGTACCAGTAATTAGCCTTTTATGCCCATATCCCTTGCAATGATAACATTGAACACTACTCATGTTGTTTCTTTTCTCACCGAACTGCCATTGCCCATCAAAGTGACCTCTTCCTCTTCTATTACCACGACCACGACCACATAATCCTCCTCTTTCACGGCTTCTACTTGTTGATCTTTCAACATCTCCAATGTTGGTGGTTGTCTCTTTGACTTGAAATGCCTTTTCTTCATGCTTTTCGTGTGATCGATTAATTCTTGCCTTATGTGCTTGCAATGATCCCATTAGGTCATCGAAGGAAAAAATTGACAAATCCTTAGATTCTTCTATTGTAGTAACCAGGCAATCAAATTTTGGAGTCAAGCTTCTCAATACCTTTTCAACAATTTTCTAATCAATAATCTACTCTCCATAGGATCGTATTTGACTGACTCTTGTTGTTGCTCTTGACAGAAAGTCAGCAATGGATTCTTTACTTTTGATGTCCAAGGTTTAAAAGTTACGTCGAAGTGATTGAAATGTCACCACGATGACCTTTGAATTGCCTTGAAACTCCTTCTGCAAAATTGACCAAGCTTGCTTTGAGGTGGTTGCTACTATAATTTATGAGAAGATACTATCATGGACAGCTTGTTGAATGATCACTAACGCTTTGGAATCTTTCTTCTTGTTGTCCCTCAATTTGCTTTCTTCATGAGGATCTGTATACTAGTGTTCTACTAAGTCCCAAAGATCTTGAGATTTGATTAGAGCCTTTATAAGGGATACACCAAAACTCGTAGCCTTCTCCTTTAAAGATAGGAATGAGTGGTTGTGCAGTACCCATTGCATTGCTGTTGCTGGCCATTGGCTTTCATCTTAGATGTTTCACTTAACTTACGTGTTTATCCTCTCTACTCACACTCTCAAGAAGGCTCTGATACCAAAATTGTTGGAGAACAAAAACAGAGGCTACTTCTTATTCGATAATAAAATGCTGAAGTACACTTACCAATTTATAGGCTTACAACTGAAAAACAAATTGCAAAATAAATTGACAGAATTTAACCAAATCCTAAACACACGTAATTCCACTACAACCACTAACGTAATGTTAGCAGCAATAAGGACTCCTTATTTGACTAATTGAACCAGGAAAATATGCCACTACTAACAAACTTTGAATAAGTCTTCAACATAACTTGCATTGTATTGACATGGAAACTTACTGTGTGCTAGAGAGAGAACAGTGATGCAAAACCATATCATGGAACCAATTAGATGTCAAAATGATCCTATTATTTCAGGGTTGTTTGTTTGCACATTCAGTTAACCATATGGCAACTGCCGAGGAAATGCTCATGGTTGTGATCTGAATCCACATTTCTTTCTTGAAGACATCTATAATGAAGAATCCTTTATCTTTCACACCTGGTTTTACTGCTACCACCATTACCAGTTGCGATTTGATATAGGGCTGCGAAAATTCTACACAAGCATAGCAATTCGCCTTTTCATTCAGCAAATGCTTTTGTGTTAAAATGTTTTCTGTAGCAAAAAATCAGAATATAAAAACAGAAAACACTGTTGTGAAGTGATGAACAAGTAATGGCTACTCAGATTGTGAAAAACAAAAAGAGATGCAGTCGAGGCATTGTTGGTAGACAATATTGAATTCGACACTCAATGTTGTGAACTTCTTCAACCATTTCATTATATGAACCACAGTAGGGTATATACACATATGATAAGCCAGTTGCTTCACTGCAGCCTCAAAAATATCAATCCACTAGAAAAAGTTTCATTTCTTTCCAGATCAAGTACAACACTAATAAACTAATTAAAAGCCCGAACCCCTATCCTCAAAGGTCTTACAGTACCGGCTAAAGTCCATCCTTTTGGAATAGTTTGCTCACTACCAGGCCAGTAAATTGAACTCAGTTTCCCCTCTAAACCTTCATATATTCCCATCGTCGGTTCCTTGTGTTAGGTTTATATTTTGTATTGGCAATTCTGTGAACAACTTGAACAATTATACAAGTTTAGGGACTAAATTGTAAAGTTTCATAGTTGGTAGGTTAGCTTAGGGTTTGGGGTTTCATGTTTGGAACAAGAAGGATTCATGCTAGTTTTTCGCTAGCTGCTTGTCGGAGTGATGCTCGAGCGACTGAAACAGATACTGCCTCGCTCAATCGCTCCACTGTCGCTCGAGCAAAACAGCCTTCTCGCTCGAACGACAGACCCTTCGCTCTAGCAAAGCAGCCTTCTCGCTCGAGCGACGTATTATTTGGCCAGACCTAATTTTCTATTTCCGAAACTTTTACTTGGCCCATACAACCTATTTCGTTCAACCTATATATTGAGGCGCTGTACTTTCTACGAAAAGAAGATTGAACACATTCTATTCAATAGGGAATACATCCTACATCAGACCAAAAGTTCAATCCTTCAATTCATATGTGCTTCTTTCATAGAAAACATCAAAGCCATCAAATCAAATACTGAATTGGTTTCTTCGCTTGGGTCTGCTGCAAGATTGTGTCGTCAACTATACTACATTAAATATCAATGAAGAGTTTGAAAAATGAGGAGTTCTTGGAGAAGATCTACATAAGATAAACTACATAAAGAGTCAGGATTGGAGTTCATCTGCTCATTCCAGGAAGACTGCTTTACAAAGAAGAGCCGAGTTTGGTGTTTGTGTGTACATTCTAGGAGGGCTGCTTCTTACTTTAGACATGAGATCAGAAAGCTTGTGTTATTAACTTTACTGGTGGTCCGTAAGTGTATTATCAGTTTATAGTGGATCTTTGACTGGCAAAGCGCCCGGAGTTTTTCCTACGTTGGGTTTCTCCGTGAACAATTCTGGTGTAGTTTACTGCTTTATTTATTATTTTTGATATAACTACGGTATTCAAAGATAGGCCGAATTGGATTGTTTGACTAATCACCTAGACATAATTAACTTGTGACATGTTGCTAGTTAATTAGATTGATAATTCTACATTTACACCTAATCACCCCTCTAGGTGTAGTTGGGTCGAATCTTGCGTTTCTTAATTGGTATCAGAGCCTAATCCCGTGTCTTGACCCACATTTTGATTGTCTAGATGAGTAGTTCGTTGTCTGTGCCTCCATATCTTGATGGCAGCAATTATGCCTATTGGAAAATGCGTATGGGAGCTTTTCTTAAGGTTTTGGATGAACGTGTATGGATTTCTGTGCAAAACGGGTGGACTCCACCTTCAACAACTGCTGATGGTGTAGTTCCACGTACTGATATTTCTTTATGGACTAAAACTTACCTGGATTAGTGTAGTTGGAATAGTAAATGTCTACATACTTTGTTTATGGTCGTGTCTCCTGAGGAATTTAGGAGAGTGTCTATATGTGAGACTGCTAAAGATGTTTGGGATATTTGAGAGACTACCTATGAGGGCACTAAGATTGTGAAAAACTCCAAATTACAAATGTTGACGTCTAAGTTTGAAGAATTAAGGATGAATGATGATGAGAGGTTTGATGAGTTCTATGCTAAGCTGAACGATATTGTGAATTCTAGTTTCAATTTAGCCGAACGAATCACCGAGTCAAAAATCATTCATAAGGTTCTTACATCCCTACCTGAGAGGTTTAGACCTAAGGTAACTGTAATAGAAGAGAGTATGGACCCTGACGACCTTAAAATAGAAGAATTCGTTGGATCCCTCCAAACCTATGAATTGACCTTAGTACAACCCAAGAAACAGAAGTCCATTGCCTTGAACACCCGTAGGGAAGAAAATTCTGAGTCTAGTCATGTAGAGTCCCTTAAAGGTGATGAGATAGCCTACTTCGTGAAAAATTTTAAGAAGGTCTTGAGGAATAGACCAAAACCACAACCTAGGCAGATGAGTCCCCCTAGGAGATTTCATAAGGAAAAGCGTGATAAGAGTGGTGGTAAAAGGTCTAGCGGTGAGCTCTAGTCGGTTAGATGTCATGAGTGCTAGGGTTTGGGCACTATAGGAATGAATGTCCTAATCTTAAGATGAGCCCGACAAATGATAGAGGTAGAGCCTTAGTTGCTGCATTGTTTGATGACGACTCTAGTGAGAGTGACCCGGGTGTGCAGTCTGAGTGTGAGAAAGTAGAGAAGTACATGGCCTTTGTGTCTCGAATAGAAAGTGAATCTGATAAGGCTAGTGAAAAGACTGAGGTTGAGATCGGTAATGAGGCCTCAGACGATGACGATAATCTTTAGGTTGTGTACCGGAGTTGTATGAGAAGAGCCTTAAGATTAAAAAACTCAACCATGCCCTACTTAAGAAAGTTGATTCCTTAGAGCGAGAAAAAGAGAGACTAGCGGTAAGTTGAAGGACTCGACCAATTCTCTGAGTGAGTTGAGATGTACTAATGAGAGATTAGAAGAGAAAGTTAAGACCCTCACAAGGGACCTAGAAAAATCCAATTCTCAACTTGAGACTTTCTCAAGTGGGATTAAGAAGCTTGATAGTCTTAGGTATGAACAAGCCTGTAGGTGATAGACGATGTCTAGGTTATGTTAAGAATAATTCCAATTCTACTAGTACCTCTAAGACTTCTTTCGTTCCCGCTTCTACTCAGCCACACATTGCTAGAAATTCTGATCCTAGAGCTGAGGGTGTTATAGGACAGAGGACACCTAGGTCTCGTAAGAACACTGCACCTCAAATTAATTTTCAACAATCGTATGTGTCTGAACCTAGATTTGTATCCACTTGCCATCACTGTGGTGCTTTGGGTCACATTAGGTTGAGGTGTCGCATGCGTGTGCGTAGGGAGAGAAATCAGGATATTCCTAGTCGAGTCAATTCTCTTTCTAGTCAAATTCTTCAGCTAACTGAGATGATTTCTCAGTTGACTAGGGTTACATCCACTGCTAGGAATGCTTGGGTCAAGAAAGTTGATCTTGACCGTATGGTTGTCACTGGTGCTTATGCACCACATTGATCTCATTTGTGGGTATCTGCATGCATTATACATTACACTGGTGCATTTTGCATCTATCCTACACTTTGTATGTATTTATTTATTTTGATGTTTTTGCTGTTAAGCAACTGTTTATTTTTATTTATTTTTATGTGTGCATGATATTCTATTTTGGTTGTGTGAATTTTTTTCATTTGAAATAGAAAAATCCAAAAACATTGAAAAAGTTTAATACAAAAAAAAAAAAAAAAAATTTGATTGAAAACTGTGAAAAATGCAAAAATATTTTCTGTTTGATCAAACGACACATCATTTTGATTTTAAACCTTTTTTGTGAAACCGAGTAAGTAATTATCTATGCTATACTGTTATTTCCATTGATTGGTTTAGTTTAATGTGGAGTATTGAATATATGTGTCGTCATGTAATCATTTGCACTGCACACGCTATAATCGTGTGAACTAATTCTGAACCGAGTGTGTGAGACTTGGGATGACAGTCACATGTTAGTAAGGTGACCTCGAACATGAATTGACCTACATTTAGATGACCTTAACTCGTGATAGTCTCCCTGCATTTGTGAATTTATGATGGAAAAATAATCAAAATAAAATATGAGTGCTTAATTGATTCATCTTATACTTTGTTCGAAGCTTATTTGACTCGAGTAATTAAGCCCGAGGAATTTCTCATAACCTAGAGCCTATGGTCATATGACTTGGGTTAACCGGCCTAAATCTCGTTACAGGGGTCAATATAGTCACCTAATGGACAAGGTCTGCACATAAGATGCTATTTATGAGAAAAAACGATGAAAAATAATATATGCTAGATTCAGGGAGAGACAAGAAAATTTATCATTTAATTGAGCTTATTTTCAGGTCCTAAAACTTATTTGGGTTTGACTTTCATTTGTAAGGATCATTCTTATTTAGCAAGTGATGTTTTGCATGTCATTTCTCACAAAATTAAGGTTTGGAGTCGTTTTCACGAGAAAATAGTGACACATTTCACACATGAATTATTTATACACTTTACTCCATCTTGTACTTAACTGCATACGTGGGAAAGTCTATTTGATAATGCTCGACTTGTGTTGCATGCTTGATTTAAATCATCGAAGTGTTGAGTACTCAATTTACTTGAATTTCTTAAAATTGGATTTTTCAAAAGATTGGTGCTATTTTTGACATTCGAGCTTTCGCTCGATTTACACTTGATTCGCTCAAGCGACGGTCATTTTTATAACGCGAATGAACCTTCATTTGTACTCATTTTTCTCGCCATTTCTCTCAAATCCCGCATTCTACTTCATCAAATTATAGCAATTTCTCTCCTTTCAAAGGTTAGGCATCAAGTTTGGGGTTCATTTACATCAATTTCATCAACCATTTCTAAGATTTTGAAGGTGAATCGCTCAAACCCTCGTTTTATCATTTTTGGGGATTTCGTGATTTTCATTATGATTTGTCGTATTGTTGACATAAATTGATATGTGTTGAGTATGCTAATGTTGTTGAATTACAATTGCATTAATGGGCTTCAATTGTTTGCTTGGATTTGATGATTTTGGACATTATATTGAATGTGCATCCTTTAACTTGGACTTTGCCCCTTTTTTGTTGATTTGGATGGAATTTGGGATAGGATTAGTTGATGGTTAACTTCTTTATACATGAGGAATCATGGGTTGGCCATGGGTGTGTTGGATTGTGCTTGGAAAGTCATGATTTTACATTGCCCTCAAAGTACTCGATGAAATTTTTTTAGGTTTGATCGTGTGTTTTTTTGCCATCATTTTGCACACACGAGTCATATTCCGTACCATGAACACTTCTATGCACTCACATGTCGATTTAGAGTTGATTTACCACCTCCGTCTAGACACCACTGCACCTTCGTCTAGACGCCACCGCACCTCTGTCCTGCAGTTTCTGAACTATGTCCAGACACTGCCCTATTTGATACTTTTGCATTGTTTTACGTGTGTATGACTTATATTTGCATCATTTTGCATTTCATAC